CACTGTTTGGACTGAAGGGTCCATTTGGCCCATTTTGGGTCACTTTTATTAAATTTAACTAATTTAATTTTTAGTATATTTTGATTAAATCATTCATAACATTTGTCTCACAAAAAAAAAAAAAAAACCAAAACAAAAACAAAAAATAAGACAAATGTGATTAAAATAACTTAATTTTGTGTACAAAGGATCAGCTTAAAATACACTAAAAATTGAACAATTCAAATAATAAAAGAAACTCAAAATGATCAAACTGAACCCTCCGTTCCAAATAGTAGACTACAAATAAGTTATACACTATTCCAAATTTTACTAATAAAATAAAAATGTTGGATTAATATAAGCGGCTGTCATTTTTTGGCAGTTAATTTATGGGAAGGGATTGTCTCTAATTTACTTTGTGGATTGAATTGTACTAGGCCCATTATGGGTTCCATTTTCATTATTTGAACCGTTCAATATGTAAAAGTTCGTCGAGTATTTCATTCTTGCAAAAAAATTGCATTAATCGATAGCCCTTCGATCGGATTATATTTTTGTCTATGTGAATATAATTTTAAAAATAAATTGTTAACAAAAAATGTATTATGATCAAGGGACTCAATATTCAATTAACGTAAGTTTTTGTAAGAATGAAATACTCAACGAGTTCTACATATTAAACGGTTCAAATCATCAAAATGAGACTCATGATGGGCCATTACAGACCTAATTGTATAGTCTAGTCCACAAAGTGGACTAGAGAGAAGTCCTTTCCTTAATATATTTACTGTTGATTTTTTTTTAAAAAAATTTATTGGGTTTTTTTTAAGGTCCCTAATATTACAAATTTAGGATATAAAGGACACCCCAAACTTTCATATTACCTGAGGTCCCTCAAAAACACGCGCCTCTTACATCCAAAATTATTGGACCAAAATGCCTTTGCGTTTTACATTCAGTTTAATGTCTTTGACTTTTAGAAATTTTTAAAAACTTAAAAATTCAATAACTTTTGATTTAAATGTCTATTTTCAACAAAAAAAATATTTTTGGAATGCTCTCGTCAAGATCTATCAAACAAGATCTATGACGAATATGAAATTTGGAAGAAAAAAAAAATAATTTGACCAAATTTCACTGAGTTAGCTACCTTCAGTCAGTGAAATTTCTTTGACTTTTAATAAGAGAAATTTCATTAATTTATAGTAATTTCAATGAAGTTTGTTAGACTAGTGGAGTTGATTTTGAGTTGTTCGTTATTCGCTTATTTCTGATAAGTAAATTTCTCTAACAACATTTTGCAAAGAAATTTTATATACAAGTTAGATTGCAAGTATATAATGGCCAAAAAAGATCAACATAGCAGAGAAATTTTAGAGAAAGTCAAATGTGTTAGAGAAATCAACATACAAGTAAATTTCTTTGACTACATTTGTAAAGAAATTTCAGAGAAAGTCAAATGTGTTAGAAAAAATTAACATGCAAGTACATTTCTCTAACTACATTTGTAGAGAAATTTTATATGCAAGTTAGAGAAATTTCATATGCACAAGAGAGAAAATCTATAACTTAGAAAAATTTCACACACAGCTAGAGTTTTTACTAGAATTTCTCTGGACACATCACAATCTCCTTAGAATTTTTCTGAGTGTGTTTGTGTGTTCGTGTTTAGAATTTCTCTAAGCATCACACACTTACTTACTATTCCCTTGTGCATTTGATTTTCACTGCACACATTACATACTTGCAAATTGATTTCTCTAGCATATTTGATTTTCTTTGAAATTTGACCGCCATGTTGATCTTCTTTGGCCATCACACATTTCCAATCTGACTTATATATAAAATTTCTCTGTAAATGTAATTAGAGAAATTTATATTTTCTATAAATGTAATTAGAGAAATTTACTTACATGTTGATTTCTCTGACACATTTAATTTTTTCTGGAAATATAGTTGGTGTTTGGAAAGTTACTGTTTTAGTAGGCTATTTTAGTTTTTGGCTATTTTAGTAAGCTAAAATTTTTGTGTTTGGGAAGATTGGATTTTTTTGTAGTTTGATGTGATGTTTGTGAGAGAAAAAGTGAAATGATTCTGAGTTTGATGTGACATTTTGTCTTATTGGCTATTTAGCTTATTTTGTCTTTAGTGCTATTTTAGTTAAAAAAAAGCTAAAAAAAAACTTCTTCCCAAACACCCCTGAATTGGAGAAATTTAGGTTGCGTTTGGTAGAGTTTTGTAAATATGATTTGAGAGTATAAGTTGTATTTTGAATTTGTGAGTTGTGAAATTATGATTTGAGTATAGAAAATTTGTTTGGTTATGGTGTTTGAAAAGAGTGTTGAATTGAGTGTGGAATTGAGTTTTAAAAGTTTGATTTGACATGTGAAGTAAGAAAATTTGTTTGGTTATGAGTTTTAGAAAGAGTTTTCAAAACTTAATTCAAATTATTATAACTCATAACAAAACACACTACTTTCACACTATTGAAAATTCTGATCAATACTCATAACCAAACTCTTTTTAAAATTCTATTAAAAAATTATTATTAACAGAAAAATAACATTAATCAATTTTTTAATTAAAAATACTACAAAAGAAATAAATTTTTTTCAAAATAAATATACAAAAAAATTTAAATCATAAATATTTAAATAATTTAAATAATCTAAAAAAATTAAAATAAATATTCAAAAAATTTAAATTTGTAAAAATTTAAATAATTTAAATATTCAAAAAATTTAAATAATTTAAAAATGTTAATATTTTAAATTTAAAAACAATTCTACATCAAATCGTAACCAAACATATAAAACAAAACTCAATTAAGAAATTATTTTTAAAACTCATAACAAACACATAACTCGAACTCCATATTACTTTCAATTTATACTCAATCGTAACCAAATATATAACAAAAAAATTAAAATATTTTTATAAAATAGAGTTTGAATTTATTTTTATAAAATATTTTAAAATTTTAAAAATTAAAATTGTAATATTTTGAAATTAAAATATTTTAAATATTCAAAAAATTTAAAAATTTTAAAAAATCGTACATTTTTAAATATTAAAATATTTAAAATCTTAACAAAATTAAAATATTTTTAAAATATTAAAATATTAATTTGAATTGAATTTTGAAAAGAGTTTTGAATTATATATTTGGTTATGGGATTTGAAAAGTAATGGTTATGTTTTGAATTGAGTTTTGAGAAATAAGTGTAGAATTATGATTTGAAAGCTCCAAACAAACAACACACTCAAATCAATGAATAGAATTATATTTTGAAAGCCTTACCAAATGAAGCCTTACATTCTTTGCAAATGTAGTCAGAGAAATTTACATTTACTTACATGTTAATTTCTTTGACACATTTTATTTTCTTTGAAATTTTTCTGCCATGTTGATATTCTTTGGCCATCACACATTTGCAATCTGACTTGTATATAAAATTTCTCTATAAATGTAATTAGAAAAATTATTTGCATGTTGATTTCTCTGGTACATCTGATTTTCTTTGAAATTTGTTTGCAAATTTAGTCAATAAACCCAACTCTACCATTTGATGCACCATTCAAAACTCGGAACCCAAGAGCAATGGACTTCTTGAATAGTAATGGAACCGAGAGCGTAGAAAAATTTCAAAAGGTCTTCCAAATTTGTACAGGTCCTTCAAATTCTTCAAGATCTGTGAGTTTATTATTATCCATAATCACTCATTCTTTAGTCTTCAGTAGATGGATCAAGGGCCCAGCCTCATGATAGCGAACGAAGTAAACAAGACGGGTGTGGCCGCAAAGGTAGAGGAGGGAGGTTTGGAACTTGGCGTTGAAGACATGGACGAGGCTAGAGTGGGAGTCGGCGACGATGAAGCAATCATCTAAATAGAGGAGGCGGAGGTGGTGGTGTTAGAGAATAAGAGGATGATGGACTTGGGTTATAAGGTTTGAAAAGAGAGAGATTAAAGAAATGGATGAGAGAGAAGAAAGACTCGAATGTATAAAGGGTGTGTTTGTTTTGAGGGATTAGGGGGTGGGATGGAACTAATAGTCCATTATTTGTTTCATTTTTTTTTTGCTCCGGACTATTAGTCCCACAAATATGGGACTATCCTATCCCATGGGAGGAGGTGGGATAGAAACCATGGGATTAGTATCCCATGGGATTATTTTATGAAATGCCTATTTTACCCTCTATGCTACTACTTAGCAAACAATTAGAAAAGAATAAAATAGTCTTTTGAACATTTATAAATTATTTTTTAGTGTTGTTAATTTAAAATTATATATTAAATAAAAATTATAAATTATAAATTTAATTTAATTGAAAATAATAAATTAAAATAATTAAAATATTGTGCAAAAAATAAAATAAATATTTTTTATTTAATCTAACTAAAAATAATTAAAATATTAAAGCTATGTTTAATATTGCTATTACTTAGTAAATAATTGAAAAAGATAAAATAGTTATTTAAGCATTTATCCTTCTTCATAATATCTCAAACAAACATTGGATAACTAAAAATAGTCCAATCCAGACATCTAATCCCATTACTAAACAAACATAGGATACAAATTTAGTCAAACCAAATAGTTCCGGGACAATGTATCTCAAGACTAATAGTCCGATGGATTATAATTCCTTCTTATTCAGTCTGTCTAAACAAACACACCTAAAGAGAAAAGAAAGAAGAATGATGACAAAGTTGATATTTTTTTTAAATAAACGAAATCAAATGGTGTGGAGGACCTTAACTAATACTTATTTTTTCTTTTGATAGACTTTTATTACTACTCAAAATTGAAGATATTCGTCAGGTCAATTTTTCCGTTTTTATTTGGTAATGGCATTACATAAGGCTATGGAAAAGTAGTTGTCAATAAACACCTGTTGTTTATTTTTTTTCATTTTAATTTTATTTATTTTTGTATAGGTGTATGACAGAGATGTTAGTAAAAGATGGGCCGCAACTGAGAAAATAGCAAGCATGTGGTTTTATGAGCCCAAGCACATCACAGCCAGAAATTTCTGGTTGAGCAATGACTCATTTCTCTCTCTCTCTCTCCAACCAGCTACACCCATTATCTAGAGAGAGAAACAAAATGAGAGAAAGAAGAGTGAACAGAAAAACAGATATAAAATGCCAAGCACCGCATAAAATAAAACCATTATAGGAAAAAAAACCAAGCTTAAGAAAAAGAAAGAAGCAAAATCGAACAAATTTTGGGTGTGTTTTGATTTTCTCTAATTCGATTCTCAAAAATTTGTTTTTTTTGGACAGTTCAGATCGATCTGTGTATTGTTTATGCGTATATATGCTCAAGAAAGTTGTACATAAATGATCGCAAGCTGCCCTGGTGGGTCTATTTTGTTTGTTTAGTAGCTTCGATTGCATCGATATAGCCCCTTTGTATTTCTGGGTTGGTGTTTTTATTTGTGTTTGTGTGTATATATGAGCTGGGAAGATTTTAGTTTTTCTTTTCTTTTTCATTTTCTCAGCATCCAAGCATATGTGTATGTACTTGTGCGCATAAAAAGGTTATGTATTTGTGTATGATGTGTTGCTTTCTGGTTTCAAACATGAAAGAACTCTGTTCTCTTAAACCAAGGTTCTGGGTTTAGTTGAGAGGTGGGTTTTGATTAATCGGGTATCCCGATGTTGATAAATCCAGGATTTATAGTTTAATTTCTTTCATTTTTGTCCAGTTTCTGGGCTAACAAACGGAAAATTATTTGAAATTCTAGTTCCTACTTCGATGCGATTTACAGGTGAAATATGAGTTTCTTCTTCTTCTTCTTATTCTTTTTTTATTTTTATTTTTATTTTTTATTTTTTATAAATTGTGTCGCAAGTGATTTTTTCCCCTCTTTTTGTGTTTCATGATTGTTGATTGAGTTACACAAATTGGGTTGGCTTCAACTTTTTCTTTAATCAGACTGGTGTCAAACTGGGATTTCTGTGTTTTCTTTTGTTTGGATTTTGTCATGTGTTTTCAGGCTTTTCATTTCTTCAATTTTAGAAATAGGTTTTGGATGTATTGTAAGCATTATGATAATCAAATGACAGACAATTTATTGGTTGTGTTTGGAAAAATTGGATCATGGAAATCTTAACGTAGAACTCTCAATTATTGTTGTTCTTGCTGCATATGAGTTTGGCATCTAGTGCTTAAAAAGTTTTCTCTTCTCCAAAAGATAAAATCCTCTCCATCCTTCTCTTGATAGAGCAATGCCATTTTACTGGAAACTAGTGGACACACCAGCTTTAATAAGCTTATGTGAATTTTACAATAATAGAGATTTGTGACGGGATTTTTTAAAAAATTTATTTATAAAGACAAGCAGCCTCATCTGCTACTATGACGTTTTTAATCTGTTTGTTTAGGCAGGTTGGATTATGTAGGATTAACATTCCTCCTAAATTATCAATCCCTTTAGATTGTATATCATATCCCATGTTTAAATTGGACCGGAATTATGAAGAGGGATTGACAAAATCCTATCAATTTTGTAATTTAGCCAATTAGTAATTTTGTGTCCCACCCCATCTTGGGATTCCATAGTCTCCCAGAAGGGGGATACCATGCCTAGCTAGATTATTAGTCTAGACTTGAATTTTCTTAGCCATTGTGTGATTCTGTATTTTGTTAGATTATTAGTCCAATCCCAAGGTGCTTTTTGTTTCGGTGAATTTGAAAATTTTAAAGTGTTGCGCGTATGTGTTTCTATACCCTTTTCATATTCCTTAATCGTAACAAGTTCAAAGAACTGACTTTCCTTGGCAAATTATCTCAGGTTTGGGCATTGGTTTTTAGAATAAACCATGAAGCAGTGGTTTCATATTGCTTGCTGGCCTAAAGGCAATACTCATTCTGCTACCTGTGCTGCTGTTCTGACTTCTGGTTTGTATTTGTATGGGGGAGCTCATGGTGGATTGAGGATGCATTCAATAGATAGATAGTTGCATAAGTATGAGAGTCAGTTGGGTCTGTCATGTGCAATTATAGCACGTGGTAGATCTTTAACTTCTGATCTTCTTATATGGCACTGTAGTGAACTACTCAATTCCATTGATTTCTTAGGAACATGGTATCAGATTTTGATCCCATGTGAAAAATGCTCTTATATGAGGTGTATGAAAAAAACTAGATTGGAAAAAAATAGCAGAGAGAGAGAGAGAGAAGAAGAATCTTTAGACATTTGGAAGAACAATATACTCAACACCAGTCATGGGCTTGCCACAAGCTTCCTCCAGCAAAATTGCCGAGGAAGTAGCTGCATCATTGAGCACATTTGTGCAAACTCCGCCTCGGCTTGTTAGTTTGAGCAGCTGTGATTTGAGTGGAGTCCATGTAGGTCACTCAGGAAATCGAATTTCAGGGGATTTCCCTTGCTCTTCTGTAAGGGAGCTTTCGAAGGATCCAGATGCTCTCAATTTATATAAGGATGGTACGACCCACATACATAGATTGAGGATTGGTCCCATTGAAAAGAATGGCTTGTTCGCTCGTAGCGGTGGACGGAATGTGCATAGTCCTGTTTCAAGGATTGTTGGGTTTGAACCCAGGGAATTGGATTCCCCTACCAATGCATTCGAGGGAAACCAATTAGATGGCAACCTTTCTTCGAAATTGGTCAGTAGCAACAGTAATGAAACTGAGGCCACTAGCTCACTAGCCAGGAAGCGGTTATTATCTCCTTTGAATGGCATGATTATACCAGATCAATTTGATGGTGAATCTCTTGACATTGGCGGCACCATTAATAAGAGTGATTCCCGTAAATTTACTGCTCTTCAGGAGCATAAGAAGGCTAATATGGGCAACTCTAGCTATTTCAGTCCTTTGATATGGTCCACAGCTAGTTTCTCAGAAAGGTATAACTCACCGGATGATAATTATGTGACCAACTCAGGTTTCTTCACTGATGGCCCTTTGCTTGAGAACAAGGAGTCACAGTCTCTCAATCTTTCTCCGACTTCAACGGGGTTAAATTCCTTTCGAGGAACAACTGAAATAGCATACCAAACCAGGGAAATAATGATTCCACCGAACAAAGCAGTTTCGTCTCCGCTGTCTATGTCTCCTCTTGGTCCAAAATACTCTGGAGGAATGAAAACTTCAGGAAGGTGTGGGGCTACCAGAAAAGAGTTAGATGACAGCTACTTAACCTTGAAGGATATGGAACAGTCACTTAACGGAACTATCTCTGGCATTTTATCTTCCCAGAAAGATGAGAATTTTAGAATGGCAAGCAAATTATTTCAAGATGCTAATCCTATGCAGAAAAAAATTGATCAATTCACCCGTGAAAGTACCTATGGAATTGATGGCCACTGGGGTCAGGATTCAACCCTTACACCTCAATGTGCTAAGTTAGTCAGATCTTTGAGTGGACAACCTGTTAGAAGGTCGTTGGTTGGTTCATTTGAGGAGTCCCTTCTATCTGGTCGTTTATTATCTGGAGTGGCCAGTCAGGTTAGTGTACTGTACATATATATAAATACATTAGATAGTCATTTAACTTTTTATTTTATCTACATCTATTTTACTTTGATTCATATGTGATTTCTTGTGTGCAGAAAATTGATGGTTTCCTTGCTGTTCTTAATATTACTGGAGGAAATTTTTCGCCACATACCCAAAAGCTTCCATTTGCAGTTACCAGTGTGGATGGAAATAAACACCTATTGTATTATTCATCAATAGATCTTGCAGCAGATGTGCCGTCAAATAAACATAGAGGCCCTAAAATGAAAAGGAGTCTTGTCATTGATTACTCTCGAGCTGAAAAGAGCCGCCTGCGAATACCTATGAAAGGGTGCATACAACTGGTACTTCCAGCCCCCTCCCCCGAAACAAAATGGATTTTGTTAGCGTAGGTCCTTAAGGCACATGTTAAGAAACTTAAAAAGATTGTACATTTTGCATGAAAGTATGTGCTATAAAGCTTGTACAATACTTTTAAGCCATCTTAACATATTCCCTAACAGCACAAGTTAACCAGACCCAATCAAAATTGAGGTATGTTTAGTCTTGCTTTTGTGTCTATCTAGAGCATAAGAGCAATACATTAAGCTACACAACGATCCTGCAGCATTAGAAAGTCATTGTATTCTATTAAGATTTCAGAGGGCTTATGAGTACCTACAATTGTTTGTGCGAAATAGGACTTGTTCTGCAATAGGAGTTCATGATTAGAAAATGTTCTCGAGAAAAGTCAAGGATTCAGATGCTAATAGTTTGCAGTTTTGCTACAAACCTGAATACTTGAAAGGATTCTGAATGAAATTGAACGTGCTGAATAATGGAGGGTCACCAATATTGAAGAAGAGATATCATTACCCGGTGACAATGGCTTGAAACCCACATCTTTGTTTAACTTGCAACTTCATGTGAATCATTACATGATATATATTTTCGTAAAGCTGCTTTAGTTTTGCCATAAAAATTTAAAGAACAATTGGAGATTATTTGATGATAAATACGCCAATGTACTGCCTCCCAATTCAAGGATTGCTTGGGCTATCGGATTTTGTGGTTGCTTTTTGAGCTTCTTTATTGCTGCATTGGCCTCCAGTACCTGAGTGAATTGAAGCCAAAGGCTTGAGTAAATTGACATCATGGTAAACCTAAAATATTTGGAGATTTGTATTTTTGTCTTTAGTTTTTTGCAAGGGATAAATCAAAGGTATTTGTTTTGCAAAATTTAGGATAACTGTAAGATGTTTTACCATGTGGGCATTTTGAATTTTGTGCTCTATTTGTCTGCATCTTCTTTTTTTTTTTAATCAACTAAAACTAATCAAAAGGACACTACTTCTACCTGGATCGAGGTTTCCAACCACGGTGACTACAAATTGATATAACCATTAAATGGGAGTTGAGGCTCAAAATGGTCAGTGATGTGAAAAATACTAAAAAAAGGACTGAAAGCAGGCATGAACTTTTAAATGAAGATGATTATATCCATTGATGACTGGCTCGCTTATAATCGCTGGTACTGTGGTAATGCTTTGTGCTGGGATATCAAAATTGATAGCTTCTTTGAGACCAAGGTTCTAGTCTTGAATTGGAATGTCTTAAGACAAAACCTTGAGACAAAAGTGTACCCTTGATTGAAAGAATGTCACCTAATTCATTTTAGGGTCTTGTTAACATTTGCCCTAAGAAGGCATAAAAAGTTTGTACATTCTTTGTTACATGTACTTGATGCAGAATATACAATCTTTTAAACTTTTTAACATGTGCCCTTACGTGTTAACAAATCCTTCATTTTATTGTGGTGAGTCTGTGAGTGCCTTCAAATATGCTGTATGGCCATATTGCTTGGCAGATGGCTCTTTTATACTAACAGACTAAATTGTTTCCAGTAGGTTATACTAACCGACTGAATTGCTGTTGACAGGTTCTCAGTAATCCTGAGAAGACGCCTATTCACACTTTCTTTTGTAAATATGATTTGAGTGACATGCCTGCTGGCACCAAGGTATGTGGCTGTGGAACAGTACCAAATCTTTTAAATTCTCATGAGTAATTCATCAACAAGAGAAAATTTCCCAGACTGAAACTTCAGCCTTTTTGTCACAGCAAGTTGTGTTAGTATCTAAACTGGTGACAATATATCTGCATTTTGGTATGGGTAATTGCATAATTTTCTCATAGATTTATATCATAATATGTAACTTGTTTTCTGTATGTTGTGTTAACTTTGGTCTGCTTTGGGAACCTCAGCTCACATACACTACAACAGCGAAACTAGAACAAAAGAATGGCGGAAATATAAGCAAGTAAATGAAGTGAATGTTGGCTTGGAGCATAGTGGGTTAAGAGGTGTCACTGTTGTTGCTAACTTGCTACACTTAGTTGAGGTCATCATCTGCTTAGCATGAAGAGCACCAGCTTGAGCCCGAGTGTCATGTAGGGGTGTAAGCAGTTCGGTTTGGTTGGGATTGACGGAACGTTTAGCACTGAACCAAATCTTTTGGTTTTATTGTTTGATGAGCCCAAATAGACTGTATGCTAGTATGCATGCTTACAGTTTGGTTTTGTCGGTTTGGTATAGAAGAGGGTTCATATGGTTTTAAAGGATTTTGTAAAAATAAATTGAGATGTATATTATTGATTGATTTGTTATTATGTTGTTGTATATTACAAAAGGTGAGTGGCTCATTATATAGGAGAGGGTGAGTGTAGTAGGTGAGGAGTAGGTGAGGAGTAGGTGGTGGTAGGTGATGGTAAATTGGTGGTAGGTGATGCTAAATTCTAACAGTCCCCCGCAAACTCAAGGAGGATAGAAACTAACCAACTTGAGTTTGAAGAGAGGAACAAAACAAGAAAATACATAAAAATAAAAAAGGATAGGAGACACTGTATGGTCGTGTCAGACCATTGGTGAAGACACTGAATGGTTGTGTGATGTTGATGCCTTGATGGTTCAGACTCTCTTTGGATCACTGGACTGTAATCAATCGAAGATGCTTCTTCCTGTTGTTGTCATGTAAAAAGGAATATTATGTTAAATATTTATGTGCTATTGTGGTACAAGGGAATTACTTTTCTCTGGATTTATACAATTGAGCAAAGTTTACCAGTGTTTATGTCAATTTGTTTTTCTCACTTAACACTAGCAAATATGGTGATAAAATTTGTATATTTGGCTGAATCTATTGACTTAATAGATACTTTACCTAATTCCTGTATTTCACATTTATGATTAACATTGGTTTGTGTATATCACTTTTATTTGACAATCATTATCAATGTTTGCTTAATAATAGCGATGATGCTTATATAACATTGGTTTGTGTATATCAATTCATGTCCTCATAATATCGATGATGCATGTGATGCGTTTACTTAATATATCATGTTTACTTGCTTGTACTTTCCAGGTACAAGCATGGTTCCTGGGGCTTTTACTTGAACACGTTTGGATTGTTCAAAAGCTTTCTCAAATCCAATCATACACTA